ATATACTGGTACCATGATAAGTAGTGTAGGTACTGACGGGGCACCCGAGCTTGGCTCCGTGCATGAGGGCAGTGCTGAGTCCCTGTTTGATGGCCTGCATGTGGCGAGGGTGGATGTGGGACAAGTTGGCCGCGCTGTCACCGCTCTTGTCCAACCTGGAAGTCATTTGGAAATTACGATTCATACAACAGCTTCCCTGTAATATAATTTGAATGTGAGGTAAAATACTGTAACTTACTTCAAGATTTTCTCGGGTGCGAGGCCCTTCATAGGTTTAGCTGACATGGTGACCTTGCAGACTTGCCTGGAGCCCCCTATCTTGCGGTCTACGGCCAGCGTGTGTCGCGCGGAGCCCTGCAGGGTCTCCCTGTACGCTATCTGCAGGGGACCCAAGTCCACCTCGATCTTGTACTCCCTGATAATGCGCTCTTTAATTATTTCCAGGTGGAGCTCTCCCATACCTTGTTTTAGATACAAAAAGGTAGAATTTGGAAATGTTGCAATACTTTTGAAAATTGATTTTAAGGTCTTGTTGTTTATTTTAATAATATGTTTTTGATTATTTTACTGAAATTTGATTTGTTAGGTTTTAAAAATCTATCACAGATTGTAGAAGTAATTGAAATGTCTAGTTGTCAATATTATCTCATAGATGCGTATGATATTTTATAACGCTACACTTTGTGTGGGACACAAAGCGTAATCTGAGCCTAAACAGTGGTAAAATAGACCTAATTGAACAGTTAACTTTGCTTTGTACATTAGTTGACTTAAGATCTACAGATGATAACGCCACGATACCTGCGAGTACAGTCTGTCCACTGTCGGCGTCGGTATGTACCCGGAGGCTGGGGTCCTCCCGCTGCAGCTGCAGCAGCGCGGCCTCCAGCGCGGGCTGCTGCGACACGCTGGGCGGCTCCATGCTGCACAGGAACACGGGCTCCGGGACTGACGTACCTGGGGGGGCGGGGTCAACTAATATCGACTGCACGCTGAACAACGTGTCAAAGATTGATTCCCACACAGAAAAACTCTTTACTTTAATTTATGATCAACATAGGCTAAACAATGAGGAACATCTTCAAAAGCAGACATCCTCATCAATACCCCTTTCCAACTGCTATATCTTATGAAACTTTTCTTAAACCTTATCATCACAAAATCAAACACGTAGAGAGCTCTTGAATAATACACCAATCCCACTTACCGATTCCCAGCAGTAGTTCAGCAAGTTCATCATTAGAAGGTTGTGTTTCCAAGGCCTGTAGTTTCTGCCTGGCACTGGGCAGCACCAGTTCCTCGAGGTGGTCTCCAGCGTCCTGCAGCAGCTGTGACAGCTGAGCTTTGGCCCGGGACGCAGAAGTCTGAGAAGACGTCACCAGGTCGCCCGTCATCGTAGCCTGGGGAATACCTATTACATTTTATCTCACTTGAAAGGATACTTTATAAGCTTGCAAGTATTTTCAACCGTATTATAAGAAAGTAAAGTGCATTTTACGTAAATAATATTTTGTTTGTTTAAAAGTCCCTGCCCCAGGTCCACAGGAAGAAATTCCAATAGAAATATGTGGTACCTTTGTACTTTAATTTTATATATGTGTTGTCCTTTATGTTGTATGTGTATACATATTGGATTTCAAGTTTTTGTTCGAAAAAAAAAGATTGCTTTTTTATATCTATCTAAATCTTATTGATATCGATATATACACGAGGGCGAAGCTACGGGTGAAGGAATAAGTAGTTTTAAAAGTCTCGAGAATTTTACCTTAAGCGAGCTGACAACTGCGATGTTCCCCGCCGTCACCTTCTCCACCAGCCGGTACTCGTCCGCCAGCGCCACGTACAGCGCTCCCGCCTAGTTAGACGAACAAAGAAACCGATGTAGTAAGAACACAATTAAACTTGTCTTAGTGATTGGGGGATCAAACTAAGGGCCTCATGCTGTCCAGTTAAACTTACAGCAATTTGAAGGCCGTTACTCTTAAAATAATCATCTATAAATGTCTCACTCCTCAACAAACTCATTAACTTGTTACAAACACACACAACCACAATTTATTGTATAAAAACCACATAATATAAATATTACCTGTTCATTCTTATCCCGCGCAAGATTATAAATCTTCTGTCCCTTGCTGATCTCTCCGCTGTAAAGGCGGAGGAAGGTGAGCACTCCTCGCTGGTCATCATGCTGCACCTTGAATGCTCTGGCAGCCAGATCAGTTCCGAAGCTTCTATACATCTTGTGGCCTTCCCCAGGACTTGGAAGGTAGGAGATGATGCCGTCCATCAGGGTCTGGACTCCAATGTTCTTGTAGGAGCTGCCGCAGAGGATTGGGAAGCCTTTCATTGAGAGTGTGCACCGTCTGACAGCTTCTTCGATGTCTTTGCTGCTGATTTCTAGAGTTTCCTGATTGGCGAAAGAAATTTGGCACTTTAGTTACTGAGATACATTATATCAAGAGTAGGGACAATTCGGATTAAATATGTCTATGTAATGCATCTGTAATTATCCTAT